AAAATCAACATACTTAGACAGACAAGTACTGACATTAATACTGTAATGTGATATTTTTAACGACCTGGGGGCAAAGCTCCCAGGCTGATCCTATAATTGATTTCACCGTCACGCTATCTATCTATCTATCTTTATATATATATATATATATACCACACTCTATAGATGTTATATTGGAGAAGTAACAAGCCTTAGTAACCACCTATCCACGCTCCTTTACGTAAGTGATTGTGGCCACGGCAAACAAAATGGCGGCTTACACATGGGACCGTCCGTGCAAAGTTAAAAGCTTTCTAACAGCAAGAGAACATAGAGATACTATCTAAAGACTTCTCTAGAAGCACTTGAAGGTAGAGAGAACCTCTATAAGTCTTAATAAGTACCTAGCTATGCATGCAAGGTCGTGAAAACAATTATAGGAATATTTTTACACTGTTACGCTTGTTCTTTATTTGTACTTCTTTTTTCTTCTCTTTATTGTCTTGACACACACACACACACTCGCACTGTTTCCTTTCAGTTAGTGTATGTATCGTCAGATCCTGAAGATTATCAAAAAGAATACGAAGATAGTTTGATGTACAGATATGTTGGTCTTCCTGTCAACCCAATACGACTCAACATTACAATACCTCCTGGACCTGAAGTCACACCCACTACAACTAATGTAACTGGAAGAAGAATAGTGAAAATTATACCAAAGGAAAATAAAGGAAAAGAAAGAAGTATAACTTGTACTTATATTGCATTTTGTGCTAGCAAGCAAAATTTAATGTATATAGGGAACTCTTTTTTAAGGGCTATTTTGTGAATTTTGCAGATTTTTCCTGAAAACGCAAATACTGGTATTGTGGCCTCGAATAAAACATTATAATTGCAAGGGGGTGTGCCAACATATTACAGGGCATAGGCCTGGGACAAATGTTGGAACATTTGAATGTTCATTTGTTAAGAAGAACATTGCGTGCTGCAGTAGGCATTTGAATGTAAAAAGAAGGTGTAGTATGTACCACACCTACTGACACACCTACTAATCAATGACATACCATAACTTATTTAGTATTAAGATCTGATGTACATGTATCAATCATTAGACATTGAGCTATACACTCTACATGTAGTGTTCTGCATTTAATTAAAGTGATCTAACAACAAACTAATTGTGACAGGGACTGACAAAAGGTACCATTTGGCAGTTAATTGAATTCATTTTTAAAGTGAAAAAAGGTCAACTTGCAAGTGTGTTTTTGAAAAAGCAATGGTTGCAAAAATAGCAAAAAATTTTTGCACTCTGTCCAAAATCCAAAAAATAAGTTAAATTGTTTCTTGACTAAAGATAAATGGTACATTTTGTCAATCCCTGTCACAATTGATTAATAATAATCTAATTCCATGGTGCGAACATTCAAACGTTTGTTCATTTTGGTCAATAGAAATGTTTGAATGATAAAATTTTACATTCGTCCCACCTCTATTTTAAAGTAAAGATGGTGTTTTTGGAACGGTAGAGTTGATGATTTTTAGATTTTTCTGAACTCTGCTGGTCCTCTGTCAAATCATGTACCTCAGAGAGCAATTGTGTCAGTTAAAGGGTGTGAGGGAGGTACCGTAGGGCGCCTTTTTTTCGAGGGCTATGAATTTCGTGGATTTTTATTTCGCGGATTTAATTTTCGCGGATTTATGCCGTCTGCCATCTTGTACCGTATTGATTTGGTTTTCGCGAAAGTAATTTTCGCAAATCTTTAAAAAAATCGCGAAATCCGCGAAATTTATAGCCCTCGAAAAAAAGGCGCCCTACGGTATGATTTGCAAAATTTACTTCTGCTAAAAAGGAGTTTGAAATTTATAGCACTTGAAAAAAGATCAAGTGCCCTACAGTATGTGGAATTTAATTTTGCTGGTGTAAGTGTGAGCTCTTATACGATACACCCATCAATACTTTGTGGAATTAAATTGTGCATTTTTGTAATAAACAGCAATAGCAAAATTAAATTTCAGCAAATATTTCTAGCTATACAGTGCTTAATTAATCATTTATTATTTAATACAGAGATACAGGTACAAGTTGAGAAGAGAATGACATTAGCTCAATTGAAGGAGGAGCTAGTTCCACTGATTGGTGTACCACCTACTGGTTTTGGAGTGTATAGGGTCAGTGATAATGAAGAATATGAAATGGAGGGACTGTATGAGCTATTAAAATCTGGATCAAAGGTACATGTATGTGTGTTATTTTGATTAACTTCATAATTGTTTATACTACTAGTTGATAGTAAGACTGGGTAGAGCATTAAGAAGAGGAGAGAAAAGAATTAAATTATATTTATTACAAGTTAAAAATACAGAAGTATAAGAATATTTCATTATTATAATTTGTATTGATTTTTTATTGTTAGTTTTGTAAGTATATGATGTACACTATTTATGCTGAGGGTACACCAGTGAGAGAATTTAAGAAACAAGTTATTGAAGAAGCAAAAGTACAAGAAATAGAAATTGACTGTGTCCTTGAATTAGACAAGTAAATACCACACATGTATATGCCATCTGTTTTTCGGGGATTAACTTTCGCAATTTTTGCATTTTGCAAAAATTTACAAATTAAATTAAAATTCACAAAATAGTTTGATGATTGTAGTTAGGTGTCATAATTGCATTAAAATCATGAAATTTTTATTTGCAATTACAAAAATGCAGCCAATTTTCAAAATCTTACACTCATAAACTATATGGTATACATCATGTGACTTATTGTGTAGAATGAGATTACGTAACAAGAGAGGAGTATCCCCTGGTAGAGTATATTTTGATGATGAGTGGATTAATACTAGTAGAGAAATGTATGTGGAACCATTGAAAGGTCAGTATATCTGCTGTATGTGTTAGTATTAATGTGTGTAGTGTATTATTATTGTTATTAATGTGGGTGAATATTCCTGAGTTCAGTCTTCGCCTTTATCATAGATGAGTATATATACTGTGCATACTATATGTACAAGTATTTACAGTAGTTTAATGTTAGCTAGTGTGTTATTTTGTTAGGACCAGAGAAGAAGTATAAAGCACAGAGACAGGTGTATGTTATAAGATGGCGTCCATCACAATGTTCAGTTGATCCAATAGAAGAAATTATACTGGATAATGATGATCCTAAACATGCTAT